ACATTAAGTGGGTAAGCAAATAACAATTAGTGAAATTCTGGTTTTATTGAATATGACATTAAAAGGGCATGTTAAAAAACTTAATCTATAAAGTTTATTAATTACAAGTATAAACTTAATAATGTAATTCATCCAATGTTGTTTGCCTGCTGTTTTCTTGTAGTACCATCTTTAACCATAATTAGTAAGTAATTGAAGAAATGCCTGCTATTTATTATACTTTGAGCAAATAACATCCAAAATGATTAATGTTTAAAGCACTGGATTTGTTAAAGCAATGTTTAAGATTCATAACCATAACTATCAATAATTTTCTTATTTTAAGCCATATCATCAGGTTCTTTCACTTTTTGTTTTAATGTAATTTGTTGTTTACAAAATCATCTATCTGCTAGCACAGTTTTGCCATTATAAGCAGTAGAGGCAAGTTTTAAATATAAAAATTCGTTTCTATCTGCAAAGCTGACAAAAGTTCAAATTATTCTGCTATAAAATTTTCTCAAATGAATAAGTCAGACAAAAATCCTCTGATTCTCAACTCACATCTTGAGGCTTGATAGTGCAAGAAGACATTTTAAAAATATCTATTTACCTAAAAACGATTATAACAGTCAAATTCTAATTTATAAAATTCTGCTTTATTATAATGTATTTTAACTTATTTGTTTTTGGTCATGCTAATTCTGATAACATTAGATGCAGTCTACTGTATTATTCTAAGAGTACATACAAAAAACATCTCTAAATCCAAAAGTTATATCAAAGCCAAACAATTGCCAGATTAAATCATGCTATATTACTTCTACTATTAATAAATAAATACTGAGTAATTTGGCCTAGAGGTAGGCATTAGGCACAATCTCTTCCTAAATTTAATAATTATAATTAAATTAATATTTATTAAATAATGATGTAGTAACTAGTCTGGTTATATCTAAATTAAATGTGCATGGAAGTGAAGGATCTGACAGAAGTCCAGATAGTATAACTGGCAACATGTCCATACAATAAACTGCAGTTACAGGTTTGAATCCCACTCCAGGCCAATTCTTACAAAATTTTCTAAATTTAATAAATATTAATTTGATTATAATTATTAAATTTAATAAGAGATAGTATTTAATTATTAATAATAGTGGTAATATAGCACAGTTTAATCTGGCAATCATTTGGCCTTAAGAATACAAGCAATATAATCATAAAAGCAAGACTGACATTGAATTTAATATTTTTCTTTATAAACAGAATTTCTGACACATCAGAAATATATTTTTATTATATAGAGCAATACAATCTTTCTACCAACAATACAAAGTTCCTAGCAGCAGTGTGTCATTGTAAGTTTCCATAAAATTCCATAAATTTTCTATGTTATCATCAAAAAATGTTCAGTATTCCAATATTTTAGATTTAAAGATTGTTTTGTATTTATAGAAAAATTATCAAGTTCCTAACATAGCAACAATACAAAATTCTTTATACAGTCAATGACAAAAGTAAATTGCCACCTCATGCCAATTAGCATGAAGATGTCATGGAAGTCAAATCTGATATAATGCACAACCCATGCTAAATCAATGAAATATCAACATAAACATAGAAATATGCTTTGAGGAACTTTAGGCCCAATCCACACTATCAGGCCACTCACAATCTGGTCAAGTATTTATCAATTGTGCTGAATGTATGTACTCATACTACAAATAACACTCAAGTCTCAGTCTGGTACATTGGGCACAATTAATTAATATTTGACAGGACTAAATGGTTTGACAATGTAGACTGAACCTTAACGGCAAGAGTCAATAGCAAGACAGTTTATCTTGAGGGTGGTTAACACCATCTTCTGGACCATCATCTATTAGTGTATGTGCATGTTCATCAACACCAGGTCATCAAAAATACATGTTCAAAAGCAAGGAATTATTTTTTAATGGATGTTCACTGAGACTTGATTGGACTCTGAGCCAGCAATTACCTGAAAAATGAGCTCTCAATTTCTGATAAAACTTGTTTCCAAATGCACCCTTTGATTCAATGTAGCTATATGCCTTGGAAAATTCTTACGCATTACACATGAATGAAACTTTGCACACTTCCACTGCATCAATTAAATTATTTTGGATAAAAGTGTATATAGCATTAACATAGGATGGCAATTTCCATGAAATTCTATTTTCCAAATCAATAAAAATTCCATGTTTTTCCATCATTGCTATGAACCCTATAACAGTTATTATTTAAGGTATAGTTAAATTGGATGAACCAATGTAACTTAACCAAAAATAATTTAAATTATAACATTTCATCTCCTGTTTCAAATCCATTCTTTTAATCTGAAAATGCTTGCTCAAGGCAATTGAAATCATCATTTTTCCTTCAATGTTTTGTTTTACGAACTGGCGTATTGGTTTTATGTTGTGTTCATTATGAATATATTAAAATTAATTGTAGATCATTAATATATAATAAAAAAATAAAAATAAAAATGACATGATAATATTTTCTGCTCTTTAAATATATGTAGAATTAGACATTTATAATTTTAAGAATTATTTTATAATTTTTGGTTGTTTTGAACTATAACTTATCCTTAAGATATATAATTCAAAGCATTAGTAAAATTTAAGTCATGAAGCTCAATATGAAGATAGTTCGAATCTGTTATTGATTTATTTATCATTTATGATCGTTCACTGTGATTTAAATAGTATTGAGAAACGAGTTACATTATCCGACATAACTTTTAAATATTTATTGTTAGTAAACAAGTAAACAAAAAGTTTTAAAAATATCTAGAACATTTTGAAACAATATCACCAAATAAATACTTTTTGCCATATTTATGTGACTATGTCTTAATTTTGTGGAATAGATTCAGTTCATGTGCCATCTTTCCAAGAAAAACTGGTAGAATGCCAAAATTTCCTGCTTCTAAATAATTAACTAATATATTTATTGTTTGATGATGTATAGTTTTCACAAATGGTAAATATTCTATTTAATATTATGTGGGTGTATGGGGGATTTCATGTGATCTGATTTACATCTAAATCTCAAAATCAATAATGAAAATATAATATGTGTAATGAAAATAGTAGTGATGAATAATCCAAAACAAGTAATTTGGCAAGAGGTAAGCAGTTAGCCACCACCTCATGATAAATTTAATAATAATAATTTTTTAATTTTAATTATTCTAGAAGAAAAGAACTGATCTGGATAGCCCTAACTTAGCCCAATAAACAACCAAATATATATGGCAGTGATGAAAGAAAAGGCATCAATTTTGCTGAAAATAATATAATATGGTAATGGGAAAAAACAATAATATCCTTTAATAATACACACAATTTCTACATGCTCTGGAATATATTTTCCTTTTTAATTTTGCTTGGCTGATTAAAACACTGCATTATTATAACCTATGATTCAGATACAAAATATATATCATGACTTAATAAACTAAACAAGAAATTCCAGATAAAGTAAATACAGTATATACTAAATTCATTGTTAAATGTAGATCTTAAAATCTTAAATTATACATATGATTTTCATTGAGGCTATGTTATTAATCATGTATTTCAGAACAATTTTCAAATTAGTCTGAAATATCTGGTCATCTTATAATTTTATATAGAATTATCATCTATCAGTTTTTTCCAACAAATCAAACAACAACAACAACAACAACATTTAAAAATTTTTGACAATATCATTCTCTTTGATTAAAAAATTAAAATCTTAAATTACTATTCTGATTTTTATTAAAATGTTATATACTGTATATGATTTTTTTTTTCAAATTTTACAACAATAAAATCTAAATATGAAGGCATTAATCACTTTTATAAAATTGCTTTCTTATATTATAATTAATCAGATTCTATATACTTATCCATTAGTTGTATATGTAATAAAAAATGTCATGTACTGTAGTATTATAATTTTGTAAATCTATAATTTTAATACAATATAAACTTGCTTTTAAACAGTATAAAAAATCCAAAACCAGACAATTTTAGAAATTGATTTTATATTTTGGTATAGTTTAAGACAGATACAATAATTTAACATCTAAATTAACTTAAAAATAACATTAAAAAAAATCATAGTTTAAAATTAAGTCTCATTCTGGATTTCTTCATAAATTAAAAGTTAAAATATGGATTATCGTTACACTACCAAATTATAAACTAACATTAATTAATTTTAAATGAATGATTCACATTACATATATAACTTCTCTTGAACAGAACTACAATGATAAAAACTTTTAATACCGAAAAACAAATTGAAATCTCTTCCTTACCAATTAAAATATAATCATTAAACATTATCGGTCTCAAAATTTCAAATAGAGGATTAGGTCGCACAATTTTCAAACTATTATTCCATAAAATTAGCAGAATCAACAAATTTCGCCCTTTAATTCTGTTATTCTATCAAATCTCACATAGCCTACTTCAAAACACCAGAATAAGGCCATTATTAACACAATATAATCTTATTAACACAATAATTTATAGAAGTGAATAATTTCCAGTTTGTTATAAATAGAATTTAAAAAAAAAAAAAAAAAATCAAAATTGTATTTCAGAACAGAAAAAAAACTAGTAAATCAATTGTGAGAAAAAAAATTCTTAATATTTTTTTTTTTTTAGTATTTTAGTACAATACACACGTTATAACCAGGATCAATTTATATTACCGCATCACAATTAAACCACACACACACACATTAATCGTCACAGTTGCGATTATTTCAAATTCTTCCCATTTGTGTTTTTAAAACACATACAAAAGCCATAGAGAAAAATGTAAAACGCAGTAATTTATCTATCAAATGTTCGTACCTGCTTTGGTAATCTATGCACAGTCATTCTGGATTTAAGCCACGATTTAGTTTATATAACATGATTATAGAAGCGAAATGTTATGGATGTAAAAGAATATAAGAAGTCTTATGTGTGATACGGTATATTCTGTCGACTTACCATTTTGATTCCTTTCGTCAAAGCTAGTCAAACAACTCCACCACCATCCATTGCAAGGACGGGAATGACAATAGAGTCCACTTATCGTCCCGACGTCGACGTCACAGAGGGGGTGGTTTGCCAAAAAAGAATAATGCGAACGACAAAATATAGTATGACGATCCGGATACAATACTAAAATATCTAGTATTTGAGACGTCATTAAATGTTACCGATCGTCCGATAATATTCGCAATAATTCTTAATTAAATCGAAACGTTATTAATAACCAAATATATTTTTAAGTAACTTCCCACGCAATTCGAAATTTTACTTATTATTGTCATAGTTTTATCGCCATTTGATGTCATTCGAAGCGCCTATTACAAAACACTTCCCATTATAAGTAAAAAAAAAATGGCCTTAATGACAGATGGCGCCTCTATGCTACGGGAATTAATCTACCGAATTTAATTGTTTGTTATTATTAAACGTTTTTTTTTTTTTTTTTTCGTTCCGAATATTTGCCACGTCGTAAACGAGTTTTTTGGCGGTAATTTTGCTAGAAATTAATTAATTGTATATTATTTTGATACGTGTTTAAACAATACGACAAATTATTATTAATTAATATAAATTTTATAAGATGAAATAATAATCGGCATACTTGACAAATGTCGATTAAATGTTTTTCGTATTGCATAAATAGGTTAATTTCGATCGCATTGCTTAATTGGCTTTACCAATTGGGGATAGAATATTTAATATTAGTATAATAAACTAATTTATCAAAAAAGAAGGGGTGTAATACATATTTAATAATAAAACACGCGTCATTCGATTATTCAATAAGCCAGGACTTGATTAAGATTTTTATAGATCCTGAATACCTTAAAGTATTTTGGTGCTTCGTATACTCTACTGTATATGTAATTCGAAATGTAAACAATAAATGAATGGCGCCAGAAAATAATTTTTTTCATTTATTGTAGGAGTGCCTTTTTTGTGGATCCTGGTTCATTTCCAGCATATGGTCCATGGTAAATCGGACAATAAAAAATTTACGTTGTGCCCCTTTCCTTGATGCCTTAAGCAAGTTCTTATTTTGCCTAATGGTTAATCCAGCCATACTTACTGCATTTAGACTGTGTAAACCTGTGTAGACTGTGTTGATCTCAGTTAAAAATGATACTCTTTAAAGCTTGACACATCAGAGAATTTGTTAAAATGTTAGAATATTTATATTTAATAGATTAAACATTATAGTTAAAAGTCACCGGTAAAAAAATTATCACTATTAATACCGTACAATGATTAGATATAATAATTATAATCACTGATTGAAATTAAAAAACAGAAATTGCAATGCAGCAATAGCAAAATTTATTACAATATATGTATAACAAAGCGTTTTATAATTTAATTATTTACTTTTTAATAAATGATTAAATTATAAAACGCTTCGTTATACATATATTGTAATAAATTCAACAATATAACAATAATAAATACAAATAGAAATTAGGAAAATGTTTATTATAAATCGCGCGAAATAAGTTATCGACTACATTTTTTTAAAAAGCTCCTTTCGCCCTCTGGGCACTAAGTGAGTCTCTTTTAGCAGACCCATAATGGGTATGGCCAGGCCCAAAATGGGGCGACCGGATGGTGAGGGATAGGGATCCCTCACCATCCGGTCCAGGGCCTCATATCCGGACGGACGGACCACCCCCCCGAAAAGTTCCTGGAGATTTTTTTGACCACTCGGACAAAAGCCGTCTTATCGGATACATTATAAAACATTTAATTTAATACGTAAAAAATTCTTAAAAATTGCTTAATGTAAAAGAAGAAAGACTATCATATTTTTTAATTCAATATATCCATAAAATTAAAAAAAAAACATTTCTTTTTCTGCCGGTGTTCAAGCTATTCAGTACACAATACATAAATTCGTATTGTTAATGAAAACTCAAAACATTCGTCATAACACGCCAAATAGGATGCCAACGACAACTGACGTTAGCTTATATTTATAAATATCCTTTCTAACTATAACAATTCTTAGTTTCATTCTAAAAATTCTCATTTCCTGTTAAAAATATCAAAACCTAATTTGGTTGATCATAATATGAACTTTATCATCATCATTGCGATGAGTTCAATTGTTAATATTTCTATCTTATTGATATTCTAGTGTTGTTAGAATTACTATACATAGGCATTTTCAAGAAATTTTGTCAGATTAAAGACAGTATAACAAATTTGGTATTATCATTGTCGCATTATTATATTGCACTTAGAACAATTACAAAATGGAGGTCAGAACTTTTCGCTTTTGTTATGAACGTAATTCAATAGCAAAAATTTTTTATTTAATAATTATATCAAAATTAAAAAACTAAATATAAATCTACTAAACGAGCAATTATTTATTGTGACGAGGTCACAATGCCGGGCTTTTAATTAATTTAACTTTTAAAATATATGTTCTCCACCTCAAACTAGTAGTGGATTGCCTCTGTAAATCATATTTTTCCTTTAACAATAGAGTCGTGCAGTCATTAACACCTTACAGGGGAAAATTTTTGAATTGAAATAACGCGACTTTCGGTTTGCATTGGAAGTTCATATATTCAATTGGGGCCTCTTCCATATCTGATCTCATCTTTCACATATCTAACTCCTTTATGGAGATTAAGGAAAGACAGTGGGGATTTATATGTTCTTGGTTCTGGGTTGACAATTCTTTTCAAATTGCAGCGCAATAATATAATTTGTATTTTATTTTTAATTAACCGAATAATTTTTATTAGATATTTTTATACGCCGTAAATCTAATAAAAACTGCATTGGCTTCCACCTCTTTCTGACCTTTTGGCAATAAGACAGCATTTTAATCATACTCATTATGAGTTGGACCAAGCCTACAATGACAAAGGCCAGATAAAAAGCGAAGTCGACATATCTTAGATCACCCATGAATTCCTACAATTTTCTGTTTGGATTTGATCCCAGATCCTCCAAAGTGGCATGCTGATATTTATCTCCTCATGGCCATTCTGCAGTCAACTGCATTTAGCCATTGAAATGCTATTAAAAATACCTACCAGATCCATAAAAATATTGTTAGAAAATTTGTAGACTGGTGAAACAACATAAAACATTAACCTATAGGCAAGTTTCACTGGATTATTGAAAAGCATGAGAATTTGCTGTGAAGATTCAATGAGAAAGCTTATACTGTATTTTAAATTTAAAACTATAAATTCAATGTTTTGATTTAAAAAGTTCCCAGATATGATGGCCTACTTAAGATTTTGTTACTATGTATTTGATTTTCTATTTTCAACTGTATTTACTGGAATCACTTATCTTTCTTAGTGATGAAATGGTGCTATGCTGTAGTGATATCTATTACACTACCACAAAAGAATTTCTTCTCTGTTTAATACATTTATAACAAATCAGTTACAAATTATTATGCAACTATGCAAATTATTAGTTTTTAACAAAACATCTTTATATATGCATGCCTAATTTCAAATGTACTAAGATACTTTTTATAATATAAATGATATACAAGCATTTTATTAGAGCTGTATTCATGGGCATAGCCAGAGTTATGTTGTGGGGGGCCTAGTAGAGGCCAACCTAACACAAAATTGAATTATTTCAAATTATTCATAACATTGGGCACAGTGGACCTTTTTTTTTATTAGTATTCAAAATTTTTAGCTTTAAGTTTTTTGTTGTTTCCAAATCGGCTAACACTTTTTCGGCTGTGATTTTCTGGGGGGCACCAGGTTCACTGGGGAGGGCCGTGCCCACCCAGGCTCCCCCCTCGCTACGCCCATGGCTGTATTTGAAATTAGTTATGAAAACGAGAGAAATAGACCTCGATTTTGGAGATAATAATTCGAAACCTTAGGAATTTCCTGGCAAATCCAGTGGCATTATCTTTGGGTGATTGCCTGGGTCTCCAAATCAATCTTATATAAAAAAATATTTCTGAAAAAAATTCCCCTAAAGAAAAACATCTGAAGTCAACACTGTTCAGTACATGGGGGTCCTTAATTCAAATCTGCTTGGGCCCCATGAAGTTACAACATGTCACTGGACAACTCCATGTGCTTCTATCTTACAAATAGTATATAAATCAGCTTATTGCGTAGTCATCTATTTTAAAAACTACATATACAAGAAACATTAAACTGACTTTTTTAAACATTTATACCACTCATTTGTTTTTAGTTAGTTTTTTTTTTTTTTTTGACAAAATTAATTATTTTCCATTCTATTAAAATTTAATAAACATTCAGTTTTAATGTTTTATAGATAATATACAAATGACGTATTATTAAATTAATTTAAACTAATCTATGTATAATTCAGAATTTTATATTAACGTTGTTTTAAGATTTTCTGATTGATAATATTGCACAAATTTTTATGAACTACATATAAATTTTTTGTCAATTTTTATTTCAAAAAGTTTTATTCAAAATTGAAATCTTTCTTGTACATTTATGAATTATAATAAAAAATAAACTAGAGTAATGTGATAATGTCAAACTGGATTTTACTTAATACTTTACTTCACAGAAACATTTATTAATAAAGATCTATAAAATGTAATTTTTAAATTACATACTTATTTATTCTGTGATTATGGGGTTGATCAAAAAGTAACTTTGCAATGTCAAGTTTAAAAATCAAAACATTGTTGATTGCATCTCCAATGTAGGTAGTTATGACCCAGATTGTCAATATTGAATGATTAAAATGAGGTATGAGTGTAAGACAGCTATGATGTAGCATGATTAGAGAATTGGTATCATGAGGAAATCTGAGCAATTAGATTTTTTTGGGCAAGAAAAAAAGTTTGCCTGCTGAAATTCATTCATTTCAGCTAATTGAGATATATGGAAACAATATTCTGTCAAAGCATCTCAGTATGATACATAATTAAATTTGCTGCAGATGTATTGATGTGAACAGGGACATCAAGAGCCATGTGAAATCCCAATTTTCTATGTATCTTTACAGTTATAAGGTTGGGGTAATTTATTATCCTACTTAAGATTCTAATTTTCAGCACTGTCCTACAGTTAATTAGTGCGTAAAAAAATTGTGGGATGATATCTGGCCCTGTGAATCATAGTTCAAGGAATTTTATCCCATCACCACTCTAGTTGGCCCTGCGCTTCATACAAAATATATGACTTTATACAAAATATTTATGTGATAAAAAAGAAAATGAAAAGTTTTGGGTCAGAAGACACACAAGGGAAGTCCATGTACAAAACAGTACATGAAATTCCTCTGTATTCATTGTAATGTGCAAAGCTGTTTTCTTTTAATGAAATATAATTTACCATTCATTCTAATATATTTATTAGAATGAATGGTAATATATTTACCATTCATTCTAAACTTTGCTACCATTGCAGTGTGTATTGTTTTCATGATAATATCCTTAAAATCTTTATACAGTTTTCTTATAGATGAGGATATTTTTGAACCTCTTTTATAAACAATTCAATAAAATTCCAATTGTGCTTTCAATCTCCCTCCATTTTCTTTCAAAATTTTTGCCACATAGGCAAGACTACGTGTAATGACGACTTACATCTCAAGTTGATTGCCACTGATGTAAGAAATTCCTTTTCTTGATTCCATTGAAGAAAAGTTTAAAACTTGTCTAACAATTTTCTGGACTTATTTTGTACTAGGGACAATAAAAAGTTCTTTAAATTCTTTTTTCAGATTACTTTTCCATACCATAGAGATTTTCTACAGAAAATCTCTATGGTATGGAAAACTAATCTAAAAAGGAAATTTTGATATATAACTTTTTCACAAGGAATTCTTACAGCAAAGAAAACAAAGTAACATCAGTTAGCCAAAAAGGACCATGTGGAAAAATCCACATGGTCCTTTTTGGCTAACTGATGTTACTTTGTTTTCTTTGCTGTAAGAATTCCTTGTGAAAAAGTTATATATCAAAACTTAATATATTTTTGATATAAAAAAAATTAATAAATAATGAAACTACTTATCTATTTCAGAATAAAAATATTTGAATAAAATGGTCTCTTCTCTTATGTTTTAAATAAAAGTTATTGGTAGTCCTATATTATTCATACTTTAGCTTAATTTATTAAGGACCACACGATAAGAACCATTTTCAGTAGTTCCACAAGAATAGTTTCTAAGATTCCACTATAAACTCATACAAAATGAGGGCTAAACACCTGACTGTTTTTATTTTGTAAATTTTATTGCAAGGCAGCACTAACGGCATTAGTATATTCTAGATGCACACTTCTCGGAGTTCAGTGATCATGGAGCACTGGTCTATACAGGAGTGTGGTACTACAGTAGAATCATTCATAAAAACCAACTGAGTCATAGCTACACAGAGTTTTGGTATAATTTTAACACATAACACATTCCTTTAAGAAACACTTTGTTGTTGTAGACTAGAAAGTGGCAAGAAGGTTCAGTGTGTGATTCAGTGGAAAACATTCTGCAGAACATTTTCCACTGGCCAATGAGTTTCCTGATTTTCCAACCACTGTTTGGAAAATCAAGATGGCCATCTCATGGACATTATTTTCAAGACATAACTAAAGCATTTTCAGTAGTTGGACATCTTTTTATGGAAATAAAATTTGTTTGTAATGAAACATATGAGCATAAAGATTTTATAAAAACCATCAGGCATTTATACCTCAGTCTGTACTGTCAGACCTATCTAAAATTACTCTCAAATCTCTTAAAATGGATTTGTATAGGTCCCAATTTGAACCCTATACAAATCAATGATACTGAAATCAAAACTCAAAGTCTGAAGTCATAGTAATTTGCTAATCTCACCTATACTACACATTATTATTGTATAAAATCATACTTGATGGCACTAGTAGTCAATATGCAAGTAGTTATAATTTTATTTAAATATTGTCTTAGTGTAACTATAAATAATTTTTAGCCATTTTGATTTTAAAACAGTCTTTACAATTTTTATATATTATTAGAATATATATTTTAAATATGGGAATAAAGATGGGAAATTCCTCATTAAATATGGGAATAACATGAGAAGTGTATAGCATCTTAAAACCAAAAAGTTACTTCAGTAGCAGCACTTATCAGCATTTGCAACTTAGGCAACAAATGAATTTAAGCTCTCAACTTCAGAAAGATGTTTTTATATAATATGCAAAATTTTGATGCAATCTCTTGATTATTCAAAAATACACACATTAAAAAAAATTGCTTGCATCTCAAAAAATAGATTACCAGTTGCTTGAATCATTTCAGAAACATGAAAATATAACAATATGAAGTAACTTAATAATCATCATCTACTTCCACTACATGTAAATGTTATAATCATGAAGAAATACAAAAGTTAAAGTGAAAAGATTTCAGCTCATGCACCTGAAGATGTTTATAATTTTGAAGTAATAAAACTCAAAAAATAAAGTAATTTAAATAGCAACCAAAAGATTATAGTGAAGATATTTTATATACAGTCAAAAACAATTAAAAATAATTGCTTTTGCTCTTTAAAGCAAATGTCTATAGTAAGTTTTTTTTGTAGTAAACAGATTCTGTTTATTTTTTAAAATTAAAATTTTGCTTGATGTAATTGTGAGAGTCGAACTTAGTGGAATAATATGTTTAAATATTTTTTTGTTGAGAAAGGACAAGTTTATTCAAACTGACATTTAAAAAGATCATTAAATTGTTTTCCCACGGACTTATTTCCTGGTTGAAGATGATACATCGAATGTGTCACCCGGAATCTATGAAGAGAAGAAAGAAAACTACTATTGGTCAGTGGTGGAAAACAGTCCTAATAAGGCAGTGGAAAAAACCCAACGATACCCCCTTTATAAAAAGGAGGGGTCGATGTGTCAAAGACAGTCTCTAGAGTTAAGTAAACTATAGGATTACATGTGTGGATTAGCCGCTGCCAGTAACTTTTCTAATCAATGCTGTGCAGAAACCTCATCGTTTGAAAGAACTGTGTAAGAAACCTCATCGTTCGAAAGGACCTCTTGAGACTCAAGAACTACATTTCCGACTCTCATAACCTATATCAAGATATTTATCCTCGCGCGCAATAATTGTAAACTCTCTCTCATTAATATGTGTTATTGGGAAAGAAGTAGCTATGTTAACTGAAATCGAACATGATTTGTATATAGCTTACATAGAACAATAAACGGGTATTATGTATATAAAGACAATCTATAGAGTGTAATTCCTCTGATTCTCTCCTTCTGCCTCCATTCTAGAACCAAAAGTCCGCAAGCGCGACCGTTCGCGTGAAGAAAATTAACGGCCAATCTTGTTTCTGTCTGTCCTTAAGACACAGTGGTGTCATCCTGACAGGGTGCCAAAGAGGTGCCGACCCTGTGGTCACATAATTTAACGTAGTTAAATGTTATTTTACTTGTTATTAAACCATATTTTAATTTTAAAACATTTCTTCAGTTCTATCTACAAAGTCACAACTCAAAATTTCTGACTGTATTTTAATGTAAAGTAATCTACCTACCAAATTTGTATTTATTTTCTCTCTAAAACAGCTGAAGAATAATATAATTCTTAATAATTTTATGTATCTTAAATATGCTGTTTCTTCACTTAATCAAGCACTGCTAACAATAAACAATCTATTCTTCCCAAACCTGTTTTTATTATTTTAATAACTATGAAGTTCTCAGAACACATCAGTAAATCTATTTCTCAAATAGTTTCAAATTTCTTAACAATAGAGGTTCTTAATAAGTAGATTCATAGTATATCACTTTAATATATGTACTCTATTTTAAAATTTATAATATATGATAAAGTAATATATTTATTATCAAAAATACAATTATATAAAACTTAAATAATCGTTTTTGAGTTACAAACAACTAAAAAAAAATTTGACTTTCAAAGTAAATTTTCTACTCAATAACAGATTTAATTTAATATTTTCTAAAAATATCAACTTAGGCTTTCATAATTATTACAAGTAATTTTATTTTTCACTGTTAATTTTATTTCACTGAAAGATATCACAGTTCTATTCAAAAATAGTGGATATAATATATCCACTATTTTTAAAAAATTTTTTAGGAATGGCAGAATATAAATTTTCAGAATACATTTTTACTAAAATAAATTATATTTGAAAAATAATTCTGATTTTTTGAATAACTTGTATTAAATTTCATTTTCTTGAATATTTTGTATTTGCAAAGAACTTTCTTCAATTGTTAGATTGCTTATAACTTTCATTAGATCAGAGCTCCTGAAATTTAATAAAAACATTTTAGATATAACAATCATCATAAAACTATAGCAATTATATTTTTATAGAAATTTATCATTGCTATTATCTCTTGGTCCTTTTTGGCTAACTGATGTTACTTTGTTTTTTTGACTCCTATAATTGTAGCATTTGTTTTTCCTGGTAATGAATTATCTAATATACTTTACCTGAGAATATAAATGTGAATTAACATGAATCAGATTATCAGTTAATGCTATTTGTAAATCTAATTTATTTTCCTCTTCTGAAAGTTCTTGATTTAGTTCCCATAAACCATATAACTGTTCCTGTGAATAAAGTGAATCTGAGAATAATAATGTTACATTTATGTATTAAACAACAGAAATTATTTTATTCACTTTATAAAAATAAAATTTAAGTATACTTATAGAAAAGTATTATAGTCACTCTGAAATCAAAGTTATAGGACTTTTGTCATATCAATATTTATAATAAATATCAATAAATATTAAAACTAATTACAAAAAGAGAATATAGCACTGCAAATAGACATGTGAAGAGCTGTTTTAACATTTACCTATTTAATGATTGAATAATGGATTTTAATTTTTCAATTAATAACTTTGGAGTTAAAAAAAAAATAAACTGGAACAGAATTTAAACCTGCATTTTCCACATATCAAGTGGATTATATTATTAGTTATAATGAGCTACAAACCAAATGCCATTGTAGAGAAAAATAATTTAGAAACTAATACATAACAACACAGATTACATTTCATCTCACTGACTCCAGGCAGAACTAGTTAAATGAGATTCTATGACAGTAATCAGCATTAACTTACTAAATTACATATCTGTCAGTACATAACCAAAATTATTAAACTCAGGTTTTAGCCATACTTAAATGAAACTAAAAATATTGGATAATTATTTTTATCATACATTGATTTATATATCATGCTAATAAAAATTTGCTATTCATGTTAGACACAATAAAATGTAAACTATAAAATATCTTTTTAAGATTCTAAAATTATTTGCAAGTCTAGAGAAGAATTTAGTTTGAGATTCAAAAAGCACGATGAATAATATACCAATTGTAGGAATTTATATAAATGTAGGAATTTGTATAAATGAACTAAAATATTCATCAGATATATTTAACTATTATTTAAGTAATTTAAATCTAATTAATTTTTAGACTTTGAATTAAGAATTCAAATTGAGAGATGAATTTAAATTGAATTTTTCAATTTAAATTTGCATTCTTCATTTTGCATTCAATCAATACTTTTAATTATTAAAATATCTCACTATTATTGCAAGAGATGTTTTTAAAATTTACAAAATTTAAGAAAATTCTTAAAAAGACAATACAAAAAAAAAAAAATGTGTCTTCTCACTTGTTCTTTCACATGCACATGAACAATTTTTATCAAAATGTATTTATTTTTTAATATTGTGCCATTGTCAGAGAGATCTTTTAATGTTTTGCATATAGAGGCGGACAAGTAGCCTCAAATAAAAGGTCGACTCTGCTGTGGAACTGTTATTCACCTAATGTGCATGTGAAAGAACAAGTGAGAATAAGAAGACACATTTTTTTTTGTATTGTCTTTTTAAGAATTTTCTTAAATTTTATAAATTTAAAAAATTTTTGTCCTGGCAATTTTTATATGTTTAAATATGCAGCTTGCAACAATAAACTCTAACAAGTTAGTTAAGTGAAAACTTTAAATATTTCCTTTCTAATACAATAGAAATAATTTAAAATTCTATTTAAATTTCAGATACTTACAAGTGCATTTTCAGATTTCTTTCTCAAAGAGTTTTTTGCTTTAGTTTCCAGAAACAGAGCTTGAAGATATTGGCAATATAAAATTTCCAACGGATTAAAGGCTGATGCCTATAAAATTTATAATTTTTAATAAATTAATAGTTCTGTGCATTAGATATATGTATAAATAAATATCCTGTTTGTATATTTTTGCTTAAATAGAGTGAGCCAAGAATAAGTTCTGATAGGAGAGCATTGCCAGGATGTGCATCACTTATCCCATCAGGAACATGCATTATGTAACACAAATGTATATGGAATTTTCATTCCAAAATTATGAATTAAGGCTGTTATGAAAAATTAATTTCTATAACAAAACTTATTAAAGCTGATTAACTTCTTTGTTATGCATGCAAACCCCAGCTGATGATGTTAAAAATTTAATGCTTTTTTTCTATGGAAAAATTCTTTTCCAAAAGTTCTCAAAATGGAAACAGAACCAAACAGTATTTTATGTTAGAATATTATTAAGTTCTTTTATTTGTATAAGGTTCAAAATGAAAAAATTAAAATAGTTAATTTTCTATAAATTTTTAAAGTTGTAGGACATGAATGAATTTGATTTTTGAAATCCTGAACTATAATTTAATGAAAGAATTAAACAGGATTCTAACAGGATGTAACTTAAAGAAATGTGGACAACAGAGGTCTGGTTCAACCCAGTCTTTTGAGCAACTGAATATATAATTGTTTGGGTTTGTATAATAGCAGCAAGGACAGTTATCTGAGTATGTCTTTGCTACTAGATGTTGTCAGTTTGGTTTCATTAATTTATTCACACTTTGCTGGTTGCCTGTCCATAGCTTGGAAGAATGTTCTAAACCAGTACATGGCTAAACACTGTCTTTAACTGTATTTTGCTCATTTATAGTGCATTTTTGTTTCTTTTTTTATTTGATGTATTCATTTTATTTATCTATTCTCTCTTCATTTCTGAAGCGATTCTAAAACTTTGTAATTTTCTTAAAAGTTTATGTATTATATATTCCATATTCCAATTCATTAACTGTTTGATCCTGAGGATGACTGTACAGTCAGTCAAAAATATTTGATAAATAAAATATTTCAGCTGAAAAAGATTAACTGTTATAAATTTATTCACACTTCATTTCACAAAATTGATAATTTTTTATTGTAATAATGTAATATGAGGAGATTTCAGTCAGTTTGGATAAATTTCATAAAAATGATTCAGATATACAGTAAGATCCCACTTAATGCTGATTCGATATAACTTGGTCTGCTTGAAACTAAAAAAAGCTCAAAATTTATGCTGATTTATAATACGATTATTTGCGAACACAAACCAATCAGCAAAAGTTGGCAAAAAGGTGTACTTTCTTTAAATCTGTTTGTTTGGTGCAATTTTGGAAAAATTTAACATTATGGATACTATAGGAAATCAGTTAATTCTTGAATTAACTGATAAATGCACAAACGAAGTGTGGAAGAAGTTATGGCTGAAGGTATCCAAGAATTCTCAATGAGAAGAGCTTATTGCTATATTGTTAGGTTGACCAAACTCAACCTAATTGATACAGCAGGACTAGGCAATATAGACAAGCAGGATATTGAGGAGTTACATCAGGTTTTTTGGTGAGAGTCTTACCAATGACGACTTTCAAGAACTGGTATAACATGGAATTCATGTGGAACTGGAAAATAGAGACCCTGAAAACAAAGAACCCAAAAAATTTCTCTACAGATTCCCTTAGTAAAAGTTTGGTAAGATAACCAAAATCATTGATTGAATTGTAGCGAATGATGATTTTGAAAAGAGTGTAAAAGCAAAACGAGGTGTTTTGGATGCAATCTTCTGTTATTGACATTTGCTAAAGGAAAGAAAAAAGTGACAAATGAAACTTCACGACTTTATTGCAGCAAAAGAACACAACCTTCATCACAAAAAATGAACTTTAAATTTCTGTGTGCATATGTTTGTGTGTTATTTAACATATATTATTATGCAAATTAATATAAAAATAACTTAAATTTAAAGTAAAATTTGTTTATTTTTGGTCGCGTGTTCCCCTATCCCTATTTACTCTATGTTAAAATGACTTCGTTTAACATTGTTTCGCTTAGCGCTTTGTTGTCTAGGAACACATCCCACATTAAGTGGGGTTTTACTGTACAATGTGCAGTATTATTTTCTTTTGCTTACCCATGCAGAATTTCTTCTTCTGTAAAGTTAAAAATTGTAAATGCCATTTTTAACTTTCAAATCTACCTAAAGGTCTACTCATTGACCATTTAATCATGAACATTTGCAAGCAGTAAATCTTATCCCAATATTTAAATCGGCTCTGTACTTTCACAGATTATTTACATAAAGGCCTAGTATTAATTAAAATAAGAATAAAATTTACTGTAATCAATATTGATACTGAACAACAAAACAGGTGAAGAAAATGTGTAAAATTTTTTCAGTTTTAATAGAATCTAAAAAAATTATCACTTTCATTGGCATCTCCCAGAGTACATCTGCCATTATTCTGCTACAGTTCCCTCAAACAGTTGTCAAACACTACTGATGAGAGAAATGGAACATTTTCCTGCAATGTTCTCCTACAGACACTTAATTAATGTATATATACATGGCAAGTTAAAAAAAAATGTGTATTTGGTTATATTTGTTTAAATATACAAGGGTTGTTCAGATAAAACCTGTTTGCACATCATATCCATGCACGTCAATGACCCCAAGCAATTCAAAGTCAGTCAAAGACACTATAGTTTATCATATTTCTTTGTGAGTGTTATTAAGTTATAGAAACAACAAAAATTCTAATGAGTGTTTAAAATAAACAAGCAAATAACAAATTCCTATGTGTGAAATAAAAATCTGTGATTCAATTTCTTAATGCAAAAAATGTGTGACCACAGGAGTTCATCATCAAATCAAGGTAGTTTATGAAGATGACATTATGAATAAATCAACAGTATGGCAAAGGGTTCAATGTTTACATTTCACTCAAACAGTTTAATGGAGGAAGGGAGAACATCTATGATGATGAATGAACTGAACATCCATCTAACATTACAGATGATTATTTGTAATACTGATCCTGCTTGATGAATTTGTTGTCATGTCAACAAATTCATCAAGCAGGATCAGTATCACATATTTGATGAAATCCATGAAAAATTTCCATATATTCCTCATATCATAATCTGTGAAACTCTAAAGTTTTTATCTTAAATATCAAAAAATTTGTGTGTGTTCCACCCAAGCTTGTGTGATCAACACAAAATAAATGGATGTTAATAATAGGTAATAATGTAATAAATCTAATAGGTGCTACATTGTCTTTTTTCAGAGTGATACCCAAGGAAAGGAGAGATGAATTTCTGACACACATCATAATAGAATAAAACTTGGAAACAAGCATCGATTAATGAAATGGCACTACCCTTGTTCACCATCCAAACCAAAGAGGTTCAAGCAAATATTCTCACGCTAAAAAAATTAAAGTCAAAACTTTGTTTTAGGATTTTTCCATTCCATCATCAGATCCAAAAAAGTTTGAATCATAAATTTGAATGAGAACTTATGTATGTGACTATTGAGCTTTCTGGAGGAATTCAGAAGTGTAATAGTTTCTGAAGAATTAGAACAAAATTTTTGTTTGGTTTACATCATCTCAGTGTAATAGCATTTGTTTTTAAAAGTGAACATCATCAATTTTGTAAAATAAAGGATTAACATATTTGTGTGAGATCAGCCGGGGTTACGGAGTAGGTAGTACTCGTGTAACACTTAATCGGCACTATTCCGCGAGAATAGTTCTCTGAGTTTCGGATCGAGAGATCCGATCTTATGTCAAGATTCGTTTGACCGGGAGGGCTTTTAATAATGATCCAAATCGCGAGATTCGGATCTACGTCAGGATGCTGACACCAGTTAATCAATTGTTTTACACGCGGATTAACACACGTATGCGATCTGATTTGGTCACGCAAACAAGAGACATCCCAATTAAAAACGATATAATAAATTTAATAAAACAAGGAAATAAACTCATACAAACATATAAATGAACGAGAGATAGAACTACTACAAATAATATCAAACCGAGAGTTATCTACACTTATATTATACCCTATTCGCGATCAAGAGAGAGAGCTCACAAAACGTTATAAAACATACGACCTGTTTAGTTGTCGTTCGTCTTCTTCTCTGTATGTAAGGGACACTTTGGAGATAAAGTTCATTTACTTCTTCGTATGGGAGATCACTATGTGCACAAATATAAAAATACTAGTAGCCCGGGACGCCCCCTAGTGGGCGTTTTAGCAGTATTACAAATTCCTATGAGGCATGTTTAATGCACTTAATATACTATTATTATATTAAAAAATTAGCTTAACTATTTCAAACCTTATCGTTTTATCGTAGCGGTTCAAATCTATCCGGTTTTTNATTTTTATATTTATATTATAAAATAACATAAGTTTACATAATCTTTACAAAAATGTAGTTTGTGGACAGAAAATTTCAAATAGAAATGACCAAAAATTCAGTAAATTATACCTGATTTTAAATTATTTAAAATTATTTGGCTGGAACAATTAAAAATATACAATTTACTACACAAAGTGTTATTTTATTTAATATCTGTTACAATAAAAACAATGATTTCAGCTTATTGCTCATTTTACTTTATGAGTTTTTAATTTTTTTTTATTTATATTTCTTATGTGAAATATATTTTTTGAATCAAGTTATAGAAATTTGATCATAAATAATATGAAATAAAACATTACAAAAATGCAAAATAAATGGCAATTAAAATTTGCATTATCTAAATATTTCAATTATTACATAATAGAAATGTAAAAATGCAAAACATGAATGTGCTCTATCATTGTGTTGGTCTCAAAACATTCCTATTCTTTTCAATGGTGAAATACTCTATTTATATATCAAAATTCAAAACAGTTTCACTTAATAGATGGTTTCCTTTCTGATAATAAATAATACAATACATTTTAAAAAAGCACACTTAAAATATTTAGAACATGTTCTTTGTTTTATTTTCACATCTCTTACTCATATTCCAGAAATTAAATAGTGTAAAAAATGATTCCAATAAGTGTGTTAGCTAAGTGAAAAAGGATTAGTGATAGATTATCAACTAATAGGTGTGAAACAATAACAATATAAAGGAAGTCTCACATTGAAGTCAAATGATAAAAGGTAAAAAACAAATATTTTATAATACTTATTATTGTTTTAACTATTTTTGAAAAGTAACTTTAGTTTTTGTTTTATAGCAGTTCCTCTCTTCTTTGCAACCAGATAAAATTATCTGTTTATTGAGTTTTTATAAATCAATATATAGGAAGTGGGTGAGATTATATTTATATAGCCAACAATGAAATATGCAACATGAACCACAAGTTTGAGAATCAACTTTTACCCAGTAACAATGAAGAAGAAATCATCAAACTGAATACATTTTGATATTCTGGAAAATGCTTTATATACAATTTTCCATGTAATTTAAATAAAGACATTCAAACTCCCAGTGTAGCTTCCTAATTTACAGAACATATCTGTTTACTAAAAATTTCTAAAATACACTTTACTAATGTATAAAAACAAGCTTAAGAAGTGACACAACACAAAACTTTTATATTTAATTTTTATTCCAAAATTGTCATGATTTTATGTTTTATCCAAGTTTTCAGTTATATGAGGCAACACTGATCCACATTACCTTGGAAAAACCAAGGTTCTGCTGTATATGGATGCATAGATATTTGATATATATGTATACTTATATAAAAATGACTGATTCTCATAAAGTTATAGCTGATATAAAAAGTATTTACTAACTCAAAAATTACAATATGAAAAAGAATGGTCTGAGTATAGTGAACACATTGATTGGTAAAAAAAAGTTTCTAATAAAAAACTGCAGAGATCAATTTCAGAACATGCTAATATATTCTGTTTTTTTATTGTTTATGTGTTTGTGCATGTGTATGATATTTCAAAATACAGCATGATTTCAAGAAAGAAATTTTGTCATAGTTGAAAAACAGTCTAAAATAATATTTGATTGAAATATGTTTCTAACTTCATATTTTCATTGTTTTCAGTAATTATACTTTTATATAAAATAAAGTTAATTTTTAAAAAGTGGCTTATTTCATTTATCCACTAAAAACATTTAAACTTATTTCATAAGAAATTATGCAAATGATTTATAAGAAAATACTTTACTTTTTTAATTCTTTTATTTCTGTTTCCATGGTGTGTTCAATATTTGTTAAGATAGATGCTAAATCTATTAGGGATTCTTCATTAGGTTTCAAAGAATTAACCATCAGTTCAGTTAAATATTCGGTTTCATCCAAAGTACATGCTAAATCTGTTGTTTTATGATAAAAATAATAAAAATTTAATTTGAATATAAATCATAACACACAAAACCATATTGAAATACCTTTCATATCAGGTAAAAATATATCTTTTATGGGTAGTTGATGCCTAGTAGTATCCATTGCTTTAGCTAAATTTTCATATTCCTGCTCCAGATCGAAAAGAATGTTTGTTACAGGCTCTAAATTTTCTTCCTGAAAAAAAAATATATATATATTTGAGTTACAAACAACTAAAAAAAAATTTGACTTTCAAAGTAAATTTTCTACTCAATAACAGATTTAATTTAATATTTTCTAAAAATATCAACTTAGGCTTTCATAATTATTACAAGTAATTTTATTTTTCACTGTTAATTTTATTTCACTGAAAGATATCACAGTTCTATTCAAAAATAGTGGATNTAATAGTAATGAAATAAAATAAACTAAAATAAAGCAAATATAATATCATACAGTATCCTTAAAAATCTTTTTAGTCCCAATTAAAAGTCCAAAAGAGACATGGTGAAAGATCAGATCACCAAGGGATGCATAGCGAGTAGTTTGTTATGGAGAAATGATCAAGTACAAAACCACAACTTCGTCTCAAACTTATAGAAACTTTTTTGTCTGATGATGATGATGATGAGATAAAGAAATCTCAAAAAACATTTAACCAAGTAAAAAGCTTTGACTCCTATAATTGTAGCATTTGTTTTTCCTGATATTATATGGAATCAATACACTCTGAAACTTGAAATATTCTCACCTAAAAATCCATGCAATTATTTCTGAGACAAGAAAGATCCATTCTTTCTTGAATATATCATGCCACAAGGAATCACAGTAAACATTTATGTATGTTGTGATGTACTGAAGTGACTGTAGTGGGCCATTCAAAATTTCAGAAGAGGTCTATTTTCTAGTTGTGTCATCCTCTTCTACAATAGAGTAACCAGATCATGTTGCTGAGAAAAAAAAAAACTACTTGAACAGTTTCAAACAGTAAGTTTTGGATCATCCACTGTAAAGCCTGAATCTGTTTCATGAAACTAAAGATCTTTTTGGGAGGAAAATGTTTTGTGACTAAGGAAGAGTGAAGCAGTCACATTTTTGAATGGACTGGCAGCCAAAGTGTATGACAAGAGATACTGTAATACAGTACAATATGTGCCTAGACAACCAGGGTAACTAAGTAGAAAAATAGCCTCTGGTATGTGGATGTAAATTATAAAAATTTATTTCATGAATCTTTATTAGTTATTTTTTATTGATCTAAAACAGTTGCTACTTTTTGAACAACCTCATACATAACTTTTTAAAAATATATTATTTTAGTATAAATGGAAATGTATTGAACAACCTCAACTAAGAATTTCACTTGTAGCATACTTTGCAGGCAAAAATTAACTTCTGCATTATATTTTCTATATTTAATGCACTGATGAATTTTTGTGTATTTATAACATTACACTATATCATTACATTCTGTATAGTGATTTGATATTGAACTGAATTCTGTTTTATTCATGCCATACTATATTAAACAAATTATTGTATCAAAAATGTGTTATTCATGTATAAAGTGTTATACATACTTACCTTTCCTGAAGAAGGAAGAGCCACAACAGGATTGATTTTCTGAGAAGCAGAATTTAAATGAGCAGAACTTATTTTATTTTTTACATTTCCTAATAATGGCTTATCTAAAAAGAAAAAAAAATAATAATTTAAATAATTATATATATATATATATATANAAAATAACAAATAAAAAAAATTCCACTAGAGCAGATCTCAGATTAACATTAAACCAGAAGTTTTTATTCACTGAGGTATACATTTGAGTAAATTTTGTACAGATCATTTTCTTATGCAGATTCTGTAGGGGAAATGTGTTTAGCCCTTTGTTGCATTTATATATAACTAGCAGACCCCCCGCCACGCGTTGTTGTGGCTCAAAATGTATCTATTATAAATTTATAACACTTCCCCCGTGGGGGAGGGAAATTTTTCGAAAAATTTCTTGTTAGTGTACATTCTATTGACGTACCCTATTAAAACACAATCAAAAACGCAAAAACCCACATCTAAAATAGTATAAATAGAAGCAAAGTTCTTTACCGTAAGCCTTAATCCTAACCATCTCCCTTCAGTGCGGTTGAATTTTGACATGTATATTATATAAAAACACGTGTGTATTCGAATGCAGCGTTGTGTCTTTATTTCAAAGGAATCGATAGGAACAAACAAACATACATTTTTATTTATATAGATAGATAGAAGATGATCCGCTTTAGTTCATTTTCACAGGAAAGCAAACTTACTTGTTAGAGCGTCGTACTCGTAGCGCCATCTGTTGGACATAAAACCCTTAACCTAGATTATATCTTTTAATTTATATGAATGTTTAACGGAATAATATACAGCCTATGTCCACCCTGAAGTTCCATTCTAAATATTGGTGAAAGAATTTTTGAAATTGGATGAGTAGTTTTGGAGATTACTTGCTGCATACAAACTTACATACAAACATTNTATATCATGCATTAAAAAAGTAAAAAAAAGTTATATTGTAAGAAGTAAAATTGTTTTCAGTACATTATAGACTTCAATTAATATGAAATTTTTTTCTTGATTTAGGCATCTATTGCAAAGAAAACAGATGAGAAACTATATAAACAATTAAAAACTTCAGACAAAAAATGTAGAACTATAATTATCAAAATGCCTGAATAATTGAGTAATATGAATGATTAAACATATAAATAATCATTTATAAACAAGTTTAAATAAATTTATAGAGTTTACACAGGAATTTTCTAATAAATTATTATATTATCTTAATACTAACACCTATTTAGTAATTTTAAAAAAATATCTCAATGTCTAATAATAATAATAATGATAGTTACAAGGACAAGAAAGAATGCAAATATTTTCTCAATATCCATCATAAATGCAGGTCCAGATAAATTTCATAAGCATTTATTTCAAAAAATATCCATTTTAATTAACAAATATACTATATATTTTTTTAGCTGTAAGAAATAAATATCATAAAAGAAGATAAACAAAGCATTTATATTTACAACTAATAAAAAATCTTACATATATTAGTGTTTTCAGAGTCATTGATTCTTTAAAGGTGCAAACTTTTATCTATGTATTTAAATTATTACATAAAAGTTACGAAATTTCCAAAAATGCAATTTATTGCCTTCTGGTAATTCAATTGATAAACTAATAAAATATATAAAAGTAGATTATGTGAAATTCATCTATACTGTAAACTAATCATCATTTTCTTCAGTTTTTCATCCCTATCAATCATGATCAGTATTATTACAAAATTTTAATGTCCATAATATTTAGAAGTATACATATCTTATTCAAGATCTTATTTTATAATTGTTATATAACTAATAATAAAAAAGTATAATACTAATAAATAATAAAAAAGGGTTTTACATAACTACATTTTTTTTTATCAATTATATAAAAATGCAATAGTGAAATAAGAAGACTAATTTGATATACAGATAAAAAAATAAGAGAAATATTATGTTTTCAGAAATTTATGAGTTTTATAGAAATTTAAACATATTGTCTTAACATTAATATTTAGCTAAAAATTTTTGGGCTTGCATTAATCAGTTAAGATTTTCAAATAACATTAATCGATAGCTTGGTAAAACAGTGATACAATAACACATAAAAATCTAATTATTAACTGTTTAAATAAGACTATAAATCCATATATCATCTTGTAATTAACCTTAATACTTAAACAACCAAACTAATTTGTTATTTGCAAAAATATTAATTTTAGAATCTGAAAACTATATTGTTATATTTATTAGTACTATTATTTATTTTTTAGGTTAGCATTTGTATATTTTATTTAGTTGTTCTTTATTTTATGGAATATCCAAATTTAAATTTTAATCCGTAAATATGTTCAAGTTTTTCGATTTAAAACATTTAGAAACCTTTTCCAATCACAAAATGAAGTATAACTCATTTTAAGCAGTTAAAATATGATTTTTTAATACATACCTTGTATATATTGTTATTAAAAGTAAACCTGAACAATAAATTAATTTAAAAAATTAACAAGTAGAAGGAACACAAGGTCTTCACATTTGTAACAACAATATTATATATTAAATAAGCAACAATATCTTATATTAAATTTTTATTTTGAGGTTCTTTTCTACCTCAATATGTAAAAAATTATCTAAAATGTCCCTTTGCTTGCAGTACAGTTTAAAAATTGCAATTATTAAAAGTAAATCTGGGTGTTAAATTCATTTAACATGTACAAATACAGTCTTCATTCCACTTCAAATAAAAGTCGACTCCATTATGAATAATATTCCAGCAATGGTAGGATTAATGTGAAGATATTGTGTTTCTTCTATTTGTAAATTTATTTATATAACTTATTGGGTTGCAATTTGAAAAAATTGTAGGTCTATAAATTCCCACTGTCATTAGTCTGTCTTTTCTTAATTTCAAGAATGGAGTTAGATAGATGAAAGATGAGACCACATATAGAAATTTTTGGGGCAAGAGGCCCCGATTAATTATATATGAACTTCTGATGCAAACCTGAAGTCATTACTTCAATTCCAAAATTTTTCCCAGAAAGGTGTTAGATGACCAGAATGACTATTATTAAAGGAAAAGTATGATGTACAGAGACAAGCCAGTAATAATTTGAGGTGGAGAGCATATATTTTAAATTAAATAAATTAAAAATTTCAGCCCAGCATTGTGACAATAAATAATTGCTCATTGTAATTAGAAACCATTTATAATTATCATTATGTTACTAAAATATTGAATTTACTTAAACATTTAATAACAGCCAACTGAAAAAATAGATAACAGTTACAAGCCATATCATTTCAATAAAAATACTAGCACAATGATCAGAATCAATTTAAATTAAATCATCTAACTATATAATATGTTTACTCCTAATAAGTTAAATGTTCATTTTCACCTTGCACCCAATACTATAGTTTATAGTTTAAATTTCAATTTCTTGTACTTTTGTTACTTCATTTATATACAGGCTAGATGTTTGCTGTTGTTGAACATTGACCATTGGTACTATTTAATTAAAGTACAATACAGTACAATATTTATTAGTCTAAGGAAAGAGGAAAATAAATATAGATTTGTTCCTAAAAGATAGACTTAAAATTTTTAGATTGCTATGACAAGTAATCAAAAATGAGCTAATGCAATGCCACTGCAAGTTGAAAATTTCACTTCTAGTTTTGTGCAAATTTTAACAAATAGAATGAATATTGAAATGTTAACAGGGAAAAATGAAAACATGATTTGCAAGAGAAACTGAACTAGAAAACATACTGAAATTGAGTTAGATTTGAAGCTTTGGTTTAATAATGTTCATGAAAAAATGCACCTGTTAATTAATAGATCACTTATTTGTCATAAAGTAGACGAACTAGACAAAAATATGGAAAGAAATATTTTATTTCTACTGATGGGTGAAGAAAATGAAAAAATATTGTGTAAAGACATGCTTATAGTGAGAAGAAAAGTTCTGATTCCAAGAATAAACACGGAATAATCAAAAATTATTGCTGAATTTTCACCAAGAAATATATGTACAGTACAGACAAAACAGAATTTTATTTTTGTGCAATATGCCTCATCATTCTTATACATTAAACATGAAAAGTGTTAAAGGATTTAACTCACTGAAGGAATATATTAGTTCTTTGCTATGCTAATGCTAATATGCACAATAAGAAACAAAACCTTTTAGTTATTAGAAAAAGTAAAAATCCTAGATATTTTAAGTGTGTGAAACAATTACTAGTGAATTACTGTTCAAATGCAAATGCCAAGATGACAGTTGACATTTTTAACAAATGATTAGTTAAATGGGATATAAACTTGAAACAAAAGAATGTTTTATCTAACTACTTCTGGAATTGACAGACAGTTTCTGAGGCACAGACATGTGGCTCAAATAGCTTGACAATAATAGTGAAGTGACAAACGAGTAAAGATGCATACTCCCAAAAGCAAAAGACATCTCTGCCATGAGTAAATCAAAGTCAAAATTAAAGTATAAGTATATAATTGTACAGCACATTCAATACATCATCAAAAAACATTAAAATAATATCTGTTCCTGCAAATACAATGTCACTGATTCAGTCATGCAACCAAGGAATCATATCTAATTTAATGGCATACCAAAGAAGTTAAATGTATGCAAAAATTTTAGGAGAACAAGATGACAGTCAAAGAAGAACCAATATGATTTCTACTGCTAAAAGAATTTCCCTAATTGATGCACTAAATGTTTTAACAATGTTGTGAGATTAAGTGTCTGAAAGGCCATTGAGAATTGTTTCAGAGACTACTTTTTTTAAAAGTAAAAGAGACTACTTTTTTTTAAAAGTAAGTATCAAGACATCTGAAAATGAAGTTGTCTATATTGAAGAGGAGATAATAAATAACACTCCAAAAGATACTGTATGTCAAAAGAAAAGTTTAAAAACTTAGCAGTTAACAAAGAAAACTTAGTATCTGCTATGATGACATCAGAAATATAGTATACTAAATTATAACTGAAAGCAGCTCTGGAGAAACTGAAGAAAATCAACATAAATACAGTGTAGATCCTTCAACAAAAACTTAGATGCAAGTTCTATGAGTATTTAATTGTGGCATACAATACAAATTGTAGAGTTCAAAGCATTGTAAATATCAGTTTTTTTATTAATGAAATATTGCCAAAACTAACTTGCAAATAATAATGGAAGAACTACAAATAATTTCTTTTATAACTATTAAATTTATTTTTAGAAGCATTTTTAATTATTTCAACATATTTTTAAATTATTTGATTCAATAAAACTTGAATTTCCACCAATTATGGTCTAATTACTTTCATTGCATAATGTTATCATTTGATATTGTTTTCAGTATAGACTAGTCCCAAAGTGATTACAATAAGTGGCACCTATTGTATATTGTCTTGTTAAATTTGTTTCATTGATTTTGTATAAATATTTTCAACAAAACAAAATAGTTTAAATATGTCATCAACAAATAATACAAAAATAATTTAATAAAATAAAGTTCAATCAAAATTATAAACAGCCATGTATTTAAATTCCATTAATATTTTTACAAATCCTGAATTAGTAAAGATGCTATAAATTAAAAAAAATCATCAAACATCAAATTTCAATAAACAATAAAATAATATGTGAAATAAATCAGGAACAAATGCAAATTTAAGTAAATCTTTAAATTAAAATGTGGACACAAATCTTATCAGCAACTTGCATTCTACATTGTGACTACATAATCATTCATACAGTGATGTTCAAGTACAAGTACAAGTGTCAACAATTAAATATTGTCCCATAAACCATTTGACATCCAAGCCATCTCTACTCCCAATCTAGTCAGTTGTTCACCCTTGCATTTGTTCCTGACTGCTTATAGCAAAGGTCTTCAACCTTTCACAGCCTTTGGAACCCTTCTAGTTTATAATATTCTTCAAGGAACCCTACATTTAGATAACAATTTAAGACAGTGTTTTCAAACTTTGATTACCTACTAGTTCCACCTAAACATTCTTTTACATATCATGAAAAGTTTGCAGAGACTTTCTGCTATAAAAACCCAGAAACACAGCTCAAAAGCTCTATCTTACCACTAGGGGCACTCTAACACCTTGGTTAAACTTTATCTATTCAAAGTTCTATTTACTTTACAAATTTCCAAAATTTGGTACAATGGTCCATGAGTGATGATCTAAGGGTGTTGTCACATTTTACTGGTAATTGAATGTTTATTTAGTTTACTTTCAGGAAAAATTATCACCCATGCTTGTGTCCAGCTATCAGCAATGCCATCTCTCAAGGTTTTGTTGAACCGTAAAGAAAGGCATGTATGATGTGAAGGAAACCTTAAAAACTTTTTCAAAACCCAGATTGAAGAACCCTGGCTACAGTATAGCATGGAGTCATTGTTTTCTTGCTTAAATTGTATTAAATCAATCTTATTAATTAAAATTTACCTAGTTTATGTTTGTTTATGTCATCAAAAACTGAAGTTTCTGCCACAATTGATGACATGTCATTAGATAAGGGCAACAAATTTGTGCCAGGTGTTGATGTTACTTGGGTCTTTTTACTAGATGAGGATGTTGTACTTTTCTTAACATCTGGAGTATTTACATTATTATTTCCTGATGAATTAGATTGATCAGATGAATCCTTCAAAACAAAAAACAAAACTTTAAATATTAATATAATATTTGATAAATAATTACAAATTATAAGTAACAACAAAAAAATGTCTTAATAAAATATAAGCTAAAAAACTTTATGCAAAAATGGATCTAGCATATAGAATAAAACAAAGATTTTTCCAAAAATAAATCCAATAGTAGTTCATCAAGAATTATAATCACATTAATATTGTTGGAGTAAAACTTTGTTCACTTTTCTCTTCCTCATTGTTACCAATGTGTATTTCAAGTAGCGATTAACTCAAAATACACTATAACATAAAACTAAATCCAGGTTCATTTTGAATTACAATTCCATACAAATTTATTAGAAAAGCAAAGTTTTTATTCAATTCAAATTTTCATGATATGATTTTCTATTTAAGTAATTTAGTTTTTATTTTAAAACAGATTAAAACACTATGAAACTTGTATTTATAGAATTGAAATATAAAAATTATAGCAAAATTTGAAGCTATTGAGAAAAAAAGTAACATTTAAATTATATTATTTAAATGGAGCTAATAAAGGTCAGCATTTTGTTAATATAAATCCTTTTCTTTTTAGAATTATTATTACAAATATAATCAACTGACCTTTCTATCTTTCAATTTTTTAGTCAAAACTGGAGTTGCATGTCTGGATTTTTGTTTTGATGTAAGCATATATCTAGAAGATATCACTTTCACTTTATCTATAAATAATTATAATATACTTGTTATCTGTAAGAATTCAAAATTGTGTGTGTGAATGTACATACACACACATTATTAAAATTAGAAAAACAAAATTAATATTTACCTTGTTTGATTTTGTTGTCATTTGGTAAATCATTTTGTGCACTGTACATTTAAATAATAAAAGAATTTGTTTTAAAAACAAATAAAATTTAAAACTTTATTTAAAAATACCATATATGTTTATTAATAACAAAAAAAATTTCTCATGTTATTTTAAACTTTCTCATGCCAAACTATATTTTCTAAATAGTCAAGATCAAAAATTTGCAAATTAGATCTGTAAATCACTAACAATTTGAAATGAATTAAACTATTTTTTTCTGAACTATTAATAATATATACTCTAAGAGAGTTCATGAAAAGAAGAAAATACGCTAATAATAATATAACAACATAATAATGGAATGTTGACACACACACACACACACACACACACACAAAGTAATGCCTAACATGAAAATCTGATTAACAATGATTTTTTCAAAATTTAAAATGATTCATATTCTATAAATAGTAATTTTGACTATACATTAAAATTTTCAAAATTTTTAAATTTCACAATTTTTTGAAGTAAAGCTGATTACTGTTGCATTCGTTTAATTATGAAGACACTAATAAATTTCCTATAAATTTTTAAGATTTTAAAAGTATAAATCTGTATGTAAAAAATAATTCTTTTATAGCATTCTAATACATTTTATATATTTTTAAATTTTATATTTGATGATAAATCAAACATATTTTCATACGTTTATTCAATTTTTTATAACTTTAAATAATTACTTTTGTTAGGAAGGTTTAAAAAAATTTCTTGCATAATCTTTATTTAATAGAAAGCAAATAAAATATCAGATAAGAAGACACCAAATTTCATGAAAATAAATAATATAATTTCTATAATAAAATTCTATAATAATGTAAATATAAAAGATCTGTATTATAATTAAGTGATTATTTATTATAGAATAATTCCAATATTCTATAATAAAGTTATTTTTAAATCTATACGTTAAACATACATTATATTATGTTTAAGTACAGTATATATGATATATGAAATATATTATATTCATATATCATATATAATGTGTAATATATAATGTACACAAGCAATACTACTATAATATATATATAAATGCAGTACTATGTGTACAGTTTTTTGTAATTTGACATCACCTAACCTTTGTCATTTTTAACTCAATCCACTTTGAGTCTAAATTATTACATATATCAAACAAGACCTGAACAATACAATTATTTGATGGAAAAGTAGTAAATTCTTTTATAGTTTTTTTCAGTGCAATATCATGATTTATCATCAGTTTGCTCACAACAACTGTCTCTCTATTATCTTCTTGTTTCATTTTCATCCAAAAAATTTCCATTCTTTAAATAAAAATTTTTTGTTTATGAACTCTTACCATTACAGAATACTATAAATATGTAGACTTCTACATTGTGATTGCTTCACATCCATTAGTAAATTATCTACTACTAATCCTCTCCAGTGGCATAGCATGGGTGTCAGCTGCTAGGGCAAAGGAACATTTCGCTGTCCCCTTATTTAGATATCTCAATTTAAAAGACTAAAATTCAGTTTCGTCACAGAATAAGTAATGAAAAATTCCATGCTAGTGTTGCCACCTTTTTAAAATCGCTGACCCGGACGGCAGGTGAGGTTTGTTCAAACAGAAGTTTCTGATGAATGCGTATGTCATTTTGCAATGTGAAGAATAATGTGCAGTGCATGCCAGTTCTAAATCAGTTACAGTTAGCAACTAGGGAGACTTGGATAGGAGTAACGTAAGTAACCTATATGACTTAGCTCTATTGGATATTGGAGGTATATATGAATATGAATGAATCATACGACGAGAAAAAAAAAGTCAACAGGTTGCCCACGATGACCCGGGTAAAATTAATAGTTCGTCCAGACGGTGAGCCGATTCCAGGACTGTCTGGATGGTAACACTATTCCGGGCTCATTTCAATCGGTCCGAATCGTAGGTGCAATGAAAATATGAAATAAAATGGTTCAAATTTTTACAAGATATTATTATTATTTATTGTGAAATTTTGCCACCCCCTAAAAAGTGCCACCTGGGGCGGGCCACCCCTGCTGCCCCCATTATGCTACACCACTGATCCTCTTGAGAGAGACTTAGTAGGATAAATTTTAAGCTGTTTATTTCTAGGAAAATGAAGAGGGAGTGCAGAAATGAAAAAATAAATGTGTGTTCTAGAAATTCTGAGTATGTTTGCTCAAAGTATTTTGTGATTTCTATATTCTTTATCAGAAAGGAATTAAGTATAAATGAAAATAAATTTAAAAACTCATGCCAATATTTGTATAACTTATGGATACAAATTCAATGAGTTCAGCGTTAATAAAGTTCTTTTAGTATTAACACAAGCACTTTCGACGAGTGTATAATCATCGTCTTCAGGTGAAAAGAACAAATTTTAACAAGACAACGTGCAGGATGTTCCAAAGGAACAGAATATTCAAAATTCAAACAGGCGTCCGGAAATTCCGTTAAGAACGTGCAAATAATTTTTGATATGTTCAAATCTTTATATTTTTCAATGCTAGCGGCGCTTACGTGGAAATGCTACCGCGTTGGCGATACGATGTTAGGCGCATTTCATTTTCTAGGCGCCGATATAAGGCAATCCACACCCCGGGTAGATTGAGGGTGAAAACATTGCACGCTTCTGAAGTAGCCGTGAGAAGCGCTTCCCAGATAAACACAAGCCTTCGATTGTTGCAGCATTTAATTATTTCCGTTCTGGGTCATAACAGGTTGTAGCCTTGTTCGAGAACTTTTTTAGCGAGCTCTGTAGAACATCTTCCTTTGGCTATGTCATCCTGATGCTCAGCAAGGCGGGAGGCGAGCATTCTTGTTGTTGCTCCTATGTATCTTGTAATATTTCCCATTACTGGATTTTCTAGGTGTATCATGTAAACCCCTGACTTTTCTAAAGTCAGGGGTTTACACGAATAGTTAGCCTGTCCCGAAAGTGCTTGTGTTAATACTAAAGGAACTTTATTAACGCTGAACTCAGTGAATTTGTATCCATAAATATAAATGAAATTCTGTAATAAATTTAGAAATATAAACAAAATATTCACCACTGAAAGAAATGGGAGTATTTTGGAATCAATGTAAAATATCATATAAATGTGGAATATATAAATGATGCTCTGCTGTACATGCAAAACTGTAATATTTATAAATATATCCTGTTTCTATAATTTCTATCTAAAAATATGTAGATATTACTTTTCTGTAATAATAATAAAGAAAGCTCAATCATTGCTAAAATGGAGAGTATTGAAATAAATCATAATTAAAATACTGAGTAGAAATTAATCATATGTTAGATATATAAATATTTGAAAATACTTTGTTTCTTTCAAATTTTCTACACTCAGGCTATTTTTATTTCTTGGAAATTCAGAAGTTTTACTTGATAAGACATCAGTGTTATCTACAAAAAAAATATATTTATCCGATTAAAAATTTTTTTTTATATCATATAACTGATGATTAATAATGTAGAAATTTGCTCTAAGACTTAAGTATTTTGTTAATACTATGATATTCTGAATGAATAATATTCACTAAATTATTTATTTACTGATACTTATTGAACATAAATAAAATGTAATTTAACTTTCTCATAAAAACTGATTTTATCAAATACTGAATATAAAAATTGACAAGTATTAAGTTAAAGATTTAAAGTACCAATGACTTTTTAAAAGTTCATTAACCAAATGCAATTTATCTTTGCTTAGCAGACATATAAAGGCCAAAGAATGAATTTTCTTGAAAAGAGATTGCAAAAAGATTAAAAATATTTTTCTATATTATAAACTATCGACTTCTACATTGTGATTGCTTCACATCCATTAGTAAATTATCTACTACTAATCCTCTCCAGTGGCATAGCATGGGTGTCAGCTGCTAGGGCAAAGGAACATTTCGCTGTCCCCTTATTTAGATATCTCAATTTAAAAGACTAAAATTCAGTTTCGTCACAGAATAAGTAATGAAAAATTCCATGCTAGTGTTGCCACCTTTTTAAAATCGCTGACCCGGACGGCAGGTGAGGTTTGTTCAAACAGAAGTTTCTGATGAATGCGTATGTCATTTTGCAATGTGAAGAATAATGTGCAGTGCATGCCAGTTCTAAATCAGTTACAGTTAGCAACTAGGGAGACTTGGATAGGAGTAACGTAAGTAACCTATATGACTTAGCTCTATTGGATATTGGAGGTATATATGAATATGAATGAATCATACGACGAGAAAAAAAAAGTCAACAGGTTGCCCACGATGACCCGGGTAAAATTAATAGTTCGTCCAGACGGTGAGCCGATTCCAGGACTGTCTGGATGGTAACACTATTCCGGGCTCATTTCAATCGGTCCGAATCGTAGGTGCAATGAAAATATGAAATAAAATGGTTCAAATTTTTACAAGATATTATTATTATTTATTGTGAAATTTTGCCACCCCCTAAAAAGTGCCACCTGGGGCGGGCCACCCCTGCTGCCCCCATTATGCTACACCACTGATCCTCTTGAGAGAGACTTAGTAGGATAAATTTTAAGCTGTTTATTTCTAGGAAAATGAAGAGGGAGTGCAGAAATGAAAAAATAAATGTGTGTTCTAGAAATTCTGAGTATGTTTGCTCAAAGTATTTTGTGATTTCTATATTCTTTATCAGAAAGGAATTAAGTATAAATGAAAATAAATTTAAAAACTCATGCCAATATNAATAACTTTACCGAAGTAAAATCCGTGCGCTACAACTTTAGAACGATGAATGAAATTTGATATCAAACTCCCATTAAAAAACAATTAAAAAGCAATTAAGGGTGAATCGTGCGTCATTAAAGGTAAATTAAAATCGCGATAAAATTTTTTCGCACGGGAAAAAATTATTGAAAAAATTTGGAGACTTAAAAAACATTCCATAAAGCCAAAAAAACAAAACTTTTAGGGGGACCAAACGCCCAAGTTTTATGTAACGCTATGTAACTTGCCCGAGATATCTCGGGCTTGGGGTTAGGTTAAGGAAAAAGTTTCTGTTAGCGAACCCTTTGTTAAATATTTCGAATATCACCACTGTATATACTACACACGTATTGTTAATTCTGAAACTTGTAGTATTGATCTTAGATACTTAAATTTATATAATGCAACTATTTAGATACTATATAAAATAGTAAGATATCAAATACCATTTTCATCAGATTTCAGTTTTTCTTCCAGCTTGTTCTTGTTTGTCACTACTTGAACACCTAATTTCTAATAAATAAATAATTTTATCAATTAAAAGCACAACTTTTAAATTTTTTAATATGTAGATAAGGTAATATAGAATAATATACACAATTTTTTTTAGATATTAATTTATAATATATCCACTTCGTTAAGTTGTTTTATTGCAAACAATAGTGTGCTTTCACCATTTGTTTTAGTAATTTTATGTTCTTGTTATTTTGAATTTTATATACAACCATTAACAAACCTTTAAACCCGGTAAAAAAATGTTTAATAAAAAGCAACAAATAAATCCAACGAACGCTTTTGCCCTTACCCAAGGTCTGCTTCAGCTTAGAGAATCAATCGAATTCCAAAATTGGAATGCTTAGAACAGAACATTTTTAAAACATTAATTTTAAACATTTGGAACATATAAAACTAACAGAAATTTAACAGTGGCAAATACATGAATCAGGTTCTGCAGGTTCTTGAAGGTTGTTGTTGGCAAGACTCTCACCAGAAACCTGCAGTAACTCCTCAATATCCTGCTCGTCTACATCTCCTAGTCTGCTGTATCAATTAGGTTGACAATTTGGTCAATGATAAGATATTCTCGTGTGAGAATCCTTGACTACCTCCAACCATACCTCCTTCCACACACTATTCATACATTTATCAGTGAATTCTTTCCAAGCAAAGTTGATATTGCCTGTGGCATCAATAATGTTATATTTTTTCCAAAATTGCACCAAACAAACATAGATTTAAGGAAAGAACAATGCTGCAACGAATTGCCACCTTTAGCTGATTGATTCATGTTTGGGAGTGATTGTATTATATACAAATCAATGAAATGCTGCAATAATTTGAATATGCATAAATTTTGAGCTTTTTTAAAGCTTCAAACAGAATACATTATATCAAATTGGCATTAATTGAGGAAGCGCTAAACGAAGTCTTACTGTACCAATTTTGGTTTTATTTGGGTTATTCATTCGAGCTACTGAGAGCTCCAAATAAAGATATTTATTTTATAACTACTTGATATGTGAACAAGTTTCTGGCTTTTAAATTATCTTGTAAACAATAAATTTCACACATTTGCAAAAACAATTACATAATTCCAAACTAAAGAAAACTTCAGAATTCATTTGTTACAAAAACTATATAAATTACTCATTTATAACTTTTATTTATTAATTTTATTAATTAATTCATTCCCATTATATCTCCCACTCATAATTCATTCTTTAATTTCACCTTGACAAGAACCTTATAGTTAAACTAACTCCAAAAAGTTGTTAAGTCTAACTTTTATCATATGATTACAGTGAAATGTTTCAGGATAAAATACAGTAGAGCATCGATTATCCGACTCAATTAGGGACTGGGGTTGGTTGGATAACTGAAAAAATGGATAACCAAAAAGTATGAAAAAATACATTATTAGTATAGTATATTATTATATTAGTATATCCTGTGTAATTAGTATATCGCTATTAACCTACTTCGCGTTGAATGTTCATCGATGTTAAGCCTAACAAATTTTTTTTTAAAATAATAATCGTCACTATTGTATAGTTAAAAATTATTTTTAAATTATTTTATTGCTCATAAAACAATCACTCATAATTAGAAAATTAAGCCTGGTTTAAATACTGGCCTCCCTTTCATGGTCAAGCCAGTGTTGCCAGCTAAAACACGCAAAAATTTAACAAAAATAATATTAAAGTAGCCAAGAAGTAGCCAAATATTGTAGCACCACATCACTAGTGGACATTTGAAATTTGCCAACTAGAACGGTCGGTTAACCAATGTAACGGTTGATTGGGCGTCGGATAATTGATGCTCTACTGTACTTCCATTTTCACAATGTTAATTAGGGAGGAAAAACAACCTGACAAAATTGTTAAAACTAACAAAAATTCAATACTATGTTATTAACATAAATAAGAAAAATTAATTTCTAAACAATATTCTTATAGACAATACAAGAATAATTAAAAATTAAAAGTTTTATATTAGTATAATCCAGTGGTTCCTAATGTTTTATCAAGGTAAAAAGGGTTCCACAATTAAAGTTTTAAAACCCTGACAATTTTTACTGATTATAAATAAAACAATAAATCCAAAATAATTTATCTAACATACAAAAAAAATTAATGTTGGAAAAGACACAAATTCAAATTAGTAATTTACACAGATTATTTCATCAGCAGATGTGGTGAAACTCAACTAAGTGAGAGAATCAAATTGCTAAATACATACTCAAATACTAAAATATTGTTACCCTCTAGGCAATAATTTCTCTGACAGGAATGAATAGTTTAATTTTTGAATACAAAAAATATTGAATACACAAGAAAGAATCAAATACACTGGTGTCCAAAATTAAGGCAACACACACACACAAATTGTAGGATATTTGAAAAAGTATTTGATGAATTGGGGAAAAGGTTTGGACACAGATACTTTGTGCAATAAGGGATTAGTTAGTTGTATAAATAAAAACAAAAAATTAATTCTCAGAGATCTGCAGATTTTGCCAAAAATATCCAAAATATGATTTAGCAGATTCCCCAGAAAAAAAAAAGTTAATAGAGAGTGTGATCATCCCTGACAGCTATACATTACCCATGATGGGTAGTCATGCTATTGACAAAGTTCTGGAAAAGGCTTTGGGGCAATAAACCCCTTTCCTCTACAAGAATGGATTTTTGGTCATGGTGGGTCCTGGAAAGGGGCTGATGTGATGTAATGGTCCTCCTCAGAACATCCCCAGATATGATCAATGAAGTTTAGGTTGACATTACTTCATCTTGTGAGTGAATATCCTCATCTTCAAGGAAATCCATAACTAGCTGAATTCTGTGCCCTAATTTTATCATCCATAAAAATAAACCAGGCCAACACTTCAAAAAAGTATTGTAAGGAACCAAGTCTGAGCTTTATTTTTATTTTACTTTTATTTTGCTTTCATTATATTTTGTTTGGGGCTTATGTTTATTTAAGACGAAGGTTTCCTCACCATTCACCTTAGTAACTTAAAAATAGAAGAAAAACCAACTCACCGACGAAAGAAAAGCGCCGTAGAAAAACTCGCGCACACTTGCGCTTCCCAAGCGGAAAAAGTAAGTCCGCACCGAGAAAAAGGGGGGGGAAAACCCCACAACCCAGTTAGGAATCGCTAAACCTTAAAAGAATAAAGCATCCCGATAATTGTTAAAAAGAATAATGTAAAAGGTTAGCGAAGTATTGTCGGAAAATAATCTGCCAGATAAACAAGAAAAATTTAATGTTACAGATAAGTATGTAAATGAGGAGAGTGAGCTCATTCAGAATTGTGACGTCACCTCACACTATAAAGCCTCTAACTCAAGTGAAAACGAACGAGGTGAATTCCTGATAGCAACGAGCTTTGGTGAGCTTCGTAGCAGTGAACGAGAGAGGTGTCCGATAGGATTTTGAAGTTATTCGATTTGTGGATCGACGATTATAGAAAGTCTTGAGAGTTGAGGAAATAGGTTCCTAGTATATTGAGGTGACGATTAGGATCTTTAATTTATAAGAATTATTGTTTATAAGTTAATTCTTTGATTTTGTCGAATTCCAAAGGGGAATAGAATTAAGTTAGAAATAGATTGATTTGAGTTTGTCGGATTGATTCTTGTTGAGTTTCATTGAATAAATTATTGTTTGATTTTTACTAAATACTGTATATAGTTTATTACTAGAAGTTTAATTAAATATTTGATTTTGTTATTGACAAACTTTGTCATTATTTAATTCGGTGCACGCTTAAAGTCCATGCCTGGCACACTAACGCGAATCCGCGTAAAGTACCCGTTAGGGAACGGCTATTTCCGGCACACAGTAGTGTCGATAATCGTTGGAAAGTTGGAAAAATAATATAGTACTTTACAGTATCACATATAGCTCACAAATCTTGTGCTAAGTGGCCAAAGTTCCTCCCATGAAGACATTCAGGGGCATACAGTCATCTGATATTTTGCCTCCCCACACTAGGACACCAGCTCCACCAAGAAGTTGTTTTCCCTAATGTTTGAGGATTGATAGCATGTCCTCTGCTCTTTCTACATGTTAATATGTAAGAATCAGTTTCTAAATTGTATCTTGACTCATTAGAGAACATAACATGACTCACTGATTCTGCATTCAGAGATGATGCTCACAGCACCAGTAAAGATGGGCTCTCCTATGGGAAAGACTGATCATTGGTCATCTAGCATAAAGCCCTTTCTCTGTAAGTCATCTATATATAGTTTGCCTCAATACCAATAATGTTCCAACGGTAGCATCAAGCTCACAAAACAGCTGTCTAGTTGTCATCTGAGGTGCAAGGCAGTTAAAGCAAGTTGACAGTTTTATGAGCTGTTGTTGATCTTAGTTGACCTTGTCCTGCTCTTCTGGTAATGGTTCCTGTTTCTTAGAATTTTTTCTGTAGAATACACATCACTTTTCTGGACACCTGCAGCTATCAGCTATCTGACTACCTCCACTTTGGACTGGCCTGCCTCAAGTCTACTGATTTCCCCTTCATCTCAAGGCATCATCAAAATGACAATAAAATGTCAAAATTTTTATCAAAATTTGATTGGCCTGAGCACAGTCACTAGTCAAAACACAGGTTTACAGAACTCCATATTTCCTTTTTCTTTGTTTGAGAAAAAACATTACAAGTATAAATTTTATTATTTTTTCAACTTTTATATCTTCTTCTGCATTAATAAGAATACAGTAGAGCGTCGATTTTCCGAAAGTCAATCATCCGGAAGAATTCCAGTCGGCAAATTTAAATTTTAGCCAGTGCTGTGGCGCTTCAATCTTTGGCTATGTCTTGGGCTACTCAAATATTTTACGTTTTTGATACTAAATTAACATCTGAAGTATAATTTTTTATTGTTTTTATATTTTTCAATATATTTATTTTGTTTGTACAAAATAAAAAAAATTTTTTAACGATACAATAGTCTTTGTTAGGCTTAACATCGACAAAAATTCAACGCGAAGTGACATGCAACGGAAAAAATTTTAACATCGGATGCGTTAAACTATTTTTTCGTACATAAATCGGTTATCCGAAATATCAGTTATACGAACAACCCCAGTCCCCAATTGATTCAGAAAATCGACGCTCTACTGTATAACTATCTATAAAAAAAATCCAGCAATAAGTTACTTAACTTTCCCGGCAACATTTAAAATTTTGATTGCACCATCTGTAACCATATTTTATTTAAAAAACTGTATGTTTTTAACTAAAATTAAACTTTGCAAAAAGCTTAATTTTGAGACTAGGAATGGGTTTTATAAAAAATTGTAAATGCTAATAACAAAGAAAATTGTCATGAAGTCTGACCCTACTCAAGATATGACACAACTCCCTCTATCTCACCACTCCTTGACCTATAACCACCAGAATTTAATAGCATCAATCTCCTAATACACAAACCCACCTGCAAAATTGAAGAAATTTTCAACAAAAAGCATAGTTATTAAGCTTCAAAGAGAGTGAACAAAATTGTGCCTCCCACACACACACATACACATCCATACATACAGAAAAAACCTCTAAATTTTTTTGCATTTCTCATGTTTAAAGGTTTAAAGTCCAAAAATATAAAAATCTTTTGAGGGTAATTTTTTGACCAATCACCATACTTTTCCTCTGTTATATGTAACAGAGCCCAGAAAGTAACACAGACCTGCCACAATGAAAAATTCTGGTTAGTACTGTCTTGTTCTGTTTTAGACATGTATTAATAAAGATTGAAAATAAATCATGCTGATGAGATAGTATTAATGAGAGATAAAATGATTCAAAAATGTATAAATTCTAATAAATGGAAATACATTAGTGAAACTTTTACTACATAAATAATAGTAATAATCAGTAAAATTTTAAAGAATCTGTGTGAATGAAAACTACAAATAAATGACAAAAGATCTGAATATGTAACAAAAATGTAATATTTAGGTATAAAGATTAACAGCAATAATAAAATGGTCACAAGTAAAACAAATAATTCTAATAAAATAAATGAAATTTAAATAATGTTAAGTGAAATAAAAGAAAACAATAAGAATTAAAAACCAAGAATATAATATTTAATGTTAAGATTAATATAACACTAACATTCGAATTGTGAAATCAACACTGAAACAAAAACATTTGACTGATTAAGGAAACCATCAATATGAAAATTAACTGTGTAATTATAATAATAAAAAGAACATAGGATTAATTTTAATCTCTCATGAACTGTATTATAACAGCACTTAAGTACACTTAATAAATTGCATTTTTTCATATTCATTGAATTTACAAAGCAAAACTAAATTACTTACATTCTTTGGAATTTTAACTTCTGATTTCTTAGCAATATATTTTGCATTCTTAACTTTTGAAGACTGAGTGAAAATTGTCTTTTGTTTCTCTTTAATTACAGTAACTTTTCTATTAGTCAACTTTTTAGGACCAGTACATGATTTACTCTTTGAAACTAAAATGTAAACATTGTCATTTAATATGAGTCTTCCTCATAAATATTTTATTGAAATTTTAAAATATATACTTATATTTAATAAGTAAGAAATATGTTAAGATAAAAACTCTGAAAAAGAATAATCAACTGTAAAAATTTTATTGAATATATCAATAATTACTTTTTAAAACAATACACATTAACACAAATTATTTTTAACTAATATAAGCAACAATTAGATGAAATTACAAGCTAAAAATTAAAAAATATTTCAATTTATTTTAAATTTTAAAATATTATTTTAATATTAGATTTTTAACACCTTAATTTTTAATTAATACAGTAGAACCAGGTTAACAGGGATAACTTGAACTGGGATAACTCGAACTTGCATTTAGTCAAAGTCATTTTCTTTCCACAAGTGTCTAGCATACAGCTTTAAATATTAAATCAAACTGATTAACTCGAATTTCTCAAACCATTTAACTTGTATTGTGTTTTGATACAGTATTTTCATAAAATCTCCGAAATTTTAATTTAAATAAAATAATTAACATTCATCTATTGAATAAACTAATCAGAAACTTTTTGTAAAGTGAAGAAATCATGCACGACTGAAGATAAACATCGTGTCATGACACTGGGCAGAGTCCAGACAGCATGCATGACAGATACTGTAACTGCCATTCAAACCTACTTGTTTTTGGTTTTATTTGATTTCTGATAAATTTTAACAACTAGCTGATATAATAAATGTACTTTTGATAACTTAATTTGAAAAAAATTATCATTATTCAATTCTATGTAAACATTTTAACTTTTCCAGCAAAATTTAAAAATATAACAATTGTAAAGAGTGATATGTTTATGATAAAAAATAAAAACGAGAGCAATTTAAGAACCAAAATATCACAATTAAAAAAATTCCATGCTAAACACTTAGGAGTGAATGGATTGACCATTCAGGAAAGCATTTCTTGATAACTTACTTAAATTAATTAATGTCCTATTATCTGTAGTGTGAGAATTCGGATGCAGTACACCAAGTGTGAAAATTCACACTTGGTGTACTGCATCACATCGAAGGTGACTTTAATTGTCTGAAGAAGGACTCCCCTCACACCAGGGGATTGTTCCAGTCTCACATAGATGTAAGGTATAGAGAATAACCAAAAGGTCACCGACGAGACTAAAACAAAATCCAATGATCCCCTCTAAGGCCAAGCAAACCGATGAGAAAGTCGATATAAATGACCAAATAAGGCAATGATTTTTCTAAGGGGGTGAGATGTAGTCTGACATGAGTCATCTCACGTCAATAAATCAGGGAGTTTGGCAAATTTATGATGGGAAGATGTCAATTATTGGAAGGAAAGGATGACAATAACATAAACACAGCTATACGCAAGCTGAGCTGGCAATTGCATCAGATTTTCTTCCCCCATGATTCCTCTCCGAAATAAGTATAAAAAGGGGTCAAATTTGCACCTCCGGGTGGATAGCCGAAGAGGACCCTGCCAAGGCAACACCCTCAGTGGACAGCTGAAGAGGACCCCGCCAAAGCAACACCCCCAGCGGACAGCCAATGAAGACCTCTACAGTCGGAGATCAACAGAGCATACACCCTCTTCGGACATAGCCAAGCGGACATCCAGGGACCCCAGTTCCATACTGGCATACCGTCCATCGCTCCATACCGCCATCCAAGGGAACTTTGATTAGAAACAGCTGATCTCAGTGCGTCATCCCAACGCCCTCTAAGAATCCTACAAGGTAAACCCTTGCCCGAATGTTCTCTCTCTCGATCTTCAGTTTAGGTTAGAACATAGATATAGAATAGATTCCTTTTATCATTTACACGTGTGTCGTTTATGCTTTTTCGTTCAATATGTATAATCTCGTAGTTGTTTATTAAATGTGTTGTTATTGTTCAACCTGTGTAGTTATTGGGACACCTTGTCATGACCTCACGACCTCTCCCCACTCGATTTGCCCTCCTAAGCCATCCGACAAACCGAGAGCAGATTTTACCAACCCGTGCAGAGTAAGTGGTCATTAGGGATCATCCCTGGAGCCCCCTGCTACCTCACAGTAGTGTTGCAGCACAATGCTTCAGCATACAAGTGGTCACATGAGTCAAATATTATTAGTGTTTTGCACTGCAATAATTTTGTGATATTTTAAGTACTTTTCGTATAAAAATATAGAGGAATCATATAAATTTATAGTTCTTTTAGTATTGTGTACCTCCAAATTAAAATATCATGAAATATTGGCTGAGAGAAAAAGTTTTGAAAAAAAAAAAAAATGTAGCAAGTTTTTAAAATGTTTCTGGTGACAAGGAGACTGAAAAGGCAGATATCAAAAAATTGTTTTTGGTGTCTCTATTTGCTGTTTTATTTATAATCATTAAAAATTTCAGGGGTTCAACATTTTTCATTAAGGTGAAAAGGGTTCTGCAATAAAAATAAGTTAAGAACCACTGATATAATACAACTATGAAAACATAAAATAAATTACAATAAAATATAACATATAATCCAAAAAAATTATAAAATTCGATAGAGTCAGAAATTTTCTCTTTTGTTTCCTTCTTACATAAATGTAAAAATACGAAAAAATTTAATATTTTTCTTTTTCTTCTGACTTTCGGATAATATATAACTTCAATTTTTTAAAAATATCAAGCCAATAATGACTATAAAATTTCCAAAAAAGACACACTTCGCTATAATTATGCAGAACAATAATGTAAATTTAAATACTGGAATGTTAACAGCGGAATGCTGGGAATTTTTTGTTAACCATATAAGTGGCTATATATTGTAAAGTCTTTGTAAATCCGCACTTAAAATGTAAATTTTAATATTGGCGGTAGACTATCACACAGCTTTAGCCAATGATTTCACTTTATTCTATTACTATAGATGCATTTCGGTCCTTTTATGTAAACTTTTGTATTTTATAGTACTGAAGAGGGACCTTTTTTAGAAAAGGACCGAAATGCATCTATAGTAATAGAATAAAGTAAAATCATTGGCTAAAGCTGTGTGATATTCTACCGCCAATATTAAAATTTACATTTTAAGTGCGGATTTACAAAGACTTTACAATATATATATAACAGCAGTCATAAGAAATTTAATTAAAATTCATATAAGTGGCTCTTCAATAAGTTGACTGTTAGAACGCACTTTGTGTACTGTAAGCCCCACTGAAGAGGCCATAGGCGAAATGCATTTGGGAAGCTTGTTAGTAATAATGTAAATAAAAGTTTTTTCTCTGCAAATTATTTTCTTTTTTATACCTTTATAACTCTTTTTTGGAAATTTTATAGTCATTATTGGCTTGATATTATTTAAAAATCAAAGTTATATATTATCCGAAAGTCAGAAGAGAAAGAAAAATATTAAATTTTTTCATATTTTTACATTTATGTAAGAAGGAAACAAAAGAAAATATAACATAACATTAACCACAAAGAAGATATGAATGTCCTGTGTATATTTTATTGAGTTATAAAACATCTTCCAACTGAAATTAGAGGAAATGCCAGAAATAAGAATTCATACCTTAAAACAGGCTCCAGCACAAATTTTAATGAAACAAATGTTTCCAACCTAAGTTGATAGGTCTTCAACAGTTGAACATTTGAAAATATAACATTTAAATAGAAAGAACATTCAAATACAAAATAGAATAAATATAAAAATTTACTTAGAAGAAAAATTGAAAATAAACATAATCTAAATATATAAAATTACTTGTCCTGACTGACTGTCAGTCATCAATTCATCATTGCCCAGAGCAGACCGCTGAACCTAGAGGTGAAATTTGGTACACAGTTAGAGTACGTCATGGAAACACACACTAAGAAGGGATTTTTCGAAATTCCCCAATGGAGGGAGAGAGAGAGCATTAAGGTTTAACCTAATGAATGGCTTCTATTGTACTATTTTAGATGCAATTTTTTGTTTTCAACAACATTTAGTCTTCATTAAGTACTTAGGTGTATTAAATTGATAACATTTCAAACATTGTTATAAATATTTTTATATATTTCAATTTTTTAACCAAACGTTCAAACAGTTTTAAATTCAAATTTGTTATTGTATATTGGTTCAGTTATAGAACGATTGTAAACGTTCCAGAAAATTGATCAAATTGAAAATAGTTCATTTGATTCTCAGCAATTCTCATCATTCTCAGTGGTAGGTGTTATATAACAATTACTATGGTTGTTGAAATACTGAATATAAATGGGGATTGCTTACAAAACCTCCGCAGGAGAAGTCACGGGTAACAGCTAGTTAATAATAAAACAGCATTAAAATAACAAAATAGGAAATTAATAAATAAATAATTAATAAGAATGTGAAAGTAATAAAAATATTAAAAGCTTATCCAAACTTTTAATGATGTAATTTAGTCCATCTCTCTACTATTTTAGAAACAATTATATCTTATTCTTATTTCCAATACTATTCCAGAATTTTTATCATATCTTTTTTCTTCTTATTACAATAAACTTCTCTTTCATTAATCTTGAAATAAACATTGAATAAATAATTATTCTTGAAATAATATTAATGTTATCCTATAAACATCCATCACATGCTCTTTTTTTTTTTTTTAATTTCCTCAATATAAAATGATTTCTGTTGCATGGTGATCATGTTAACTTAATTAAGTTTTCTTTAACTGCATATATTTATTTACATATTATCAATTTAAAATTTTAAACAATCTCAAAACTAAAAACTAATTTAAATAGTATTAAATTTTAGAAAATTTACCAAAATTACATATCTTACAACTGTCAATTGTAAAGAATATAATTAACTGAAAACAGATAATAAAATATCTTACAAAGGGAAAGCATGACCTGGGAAATTCACTTTGGGATGAGACTTGGTATATAGGTAGTACTCCTTTAGTGTGTTCAACCCTCAAAAGAAGAAAGTGCAATGGCCAGCCAATTTTGAGAAAAAGGCTTTAAAAATTCGAGCTCAGCTTAT